TTTTTTTCTTTTTTAAATTTTTTAAAACATTTATTTATTTGAGAGACAGAGTCTGTAGGGAAGTGGGGGAGAGGGGTAGAGGGAGCTAATCTTCAAACAAACTTGCTGCTGGGCAGGGAACCCTACTGGGGTTCAATCTCCTGACCCTGAGATCATGACCTGACCCAAAACTAACTGTTGGAGGCTTAACCAACTGAGCCACCCAGTCACCTTTTTTAATTTTTTTTAAGACTTTATCTATTTATTTTATAGAGGGATAGAGGAGTATATATGCACATGGGGGGAGGGACAGAGGAAAGGAAGAGAATCTCAAGCAGAATCCTTGCTGAGCCAGGAACCAAAGAGGGGGCTCTATCCTCTGACCCTGAGATCATGACCTGAGTCAAAATCAACAGTTGGATGCTCTACTGACTGAGCTACCCAGGTGCCCCAAGCCATTTTTTTCATTGTAAAAGTTGGTATTAAAATATTTTTCATGTTTAATAATGTGCATATAGATTTCTGGGTCATAATGGCTATGACCTAACAGTGAACTAATGGTATTTAAGTTGTTATCACCTAATATCCACGTGCAAGCATTAAAAAAATGCAAAGGATGGGCATAATGGAAATATTGTTTAATCACTCATTGACTAACTTCAGTATGTGTGCCCTCTTTATTTCCATGATCATCCATGGCAATCACATGAAAGTTATCTTCATGTATTTTCTGTATTTTCACTGTATTTTCTATATGCTAGTCATGTTTCTTAGAAGCGTACATATTATAAATGATATGAATATTATAAATATTATACCTGTTATTGCCAATATATGGAAAGGAAAATAAAGTCACAGAGTTTAAGTAACTCACCAAAGGTTCACAGGTTGTAAGTAGTAAAGATGTGATTTGAATTCAGGCTCTATAAACAAAGTTCTTATCCACTACACTTTGATCATAAAAAAAGATTATTTTGAAAAAAAATATCCAGGACTTCATCAATTTAGAACCACTGACTCTTTTTCCCTTTGAGACATTGTCTTTTTCCTTTTGAAATGCATATATCACCCTCTTTGTTGATTTTTTTTCTTCTGTTACCTGTTTTAACTCTTCCAGACCCTCCATTGCCAATGGCAAATCTACCAGTGTGCTACCATCAATTTTATCAATTTCATAAAATACAATTCTCTTGAAAGTCCAAAATCTCACTTTGCTATAAATTTTTATTTTATAATTGGGTATTCTAATATACAAAAATGAGCATCAGACTGAAAGAGTAAATGTGCAGGGACAGATGCTTATGTTAAGCTAGAGTGGTGAAGAGATAGATTGATTAAGATTTATTTCTATAACTGGTGAGTTCATTTTAGCAAATATTTTCTTGCTGTGACACATTGTTAGCTGTGATACTAAAGATCTTATTCCTTTTATCTATTACATTTTTATGCATTTTTACCCTCAACTAGAAAGACCTCTAGGTTCTAATTTACTTGAAAATCTGCAAGAAAAACTCTAGAATATATATTCATTATATAGAATAAAAATAGAATGTGTGCAGCCAGCTTTCATGCTGCAATTATAAAAACCTCAAAGCCAAATTATATTATTTAATTTTTACTTGTCACTGGCAGTATCTTAGAGTTACATATTACATTTTTGCTAATAATGGCTTGTAAATTATTAAGAGACACCATTAAGATCCTTTCCTTTTTTACCCTTTTCAGTTAAATTATTTTAAAATTCCATATTAAATTATGATATTATATGTTTCAAAATTTATTAATAAAACCATATGTATTATTGGTTATAATAGCTGGTAAAAAGATCTTAAAAAGAGTACCTGTAACCTAAAAAATACACAAGTCAAAAACAGTATTTGTTCTAGACATATCTAGATATTTATTATATCTTTTCAAGAGGGCTTCTTATAACCCTCTGTTGTTGTTGTTGTTTTCCTCCTTTTTTTTTTTTTTCATAGTTGATTACTGACAGATGAGATACATTTTCACAACACACCACTGAAGGTGTGAATTATTTATCTGGCATGGGATGTACTCAGAAGGAAGTCAGTAAACCTCCCAGAACTTTCCTTGCATGTACTTCATGGATAGCCAAGATGTAAATGGGTTTCTGAAGTTTCTGAAAATAAAGTTTCTGAATTTAACTTTCAGATAAGTTGGAAGGGCACTTTTCAGACTTAAAGCAAGTCCAAATCAAGGGAAACAGAGAAAACAAAACTGTATTTTGCAGCCTATGAACCTCATTGTGGGTTGAGTTGTATCTTCTCAAAAGATATTTTGAAGTCCTAATGCCAAGTGCCTCAGCATGTCACATTTTTTGAAACTAGGGCTGTTGAAGATGTAATTAGGCAACTTAAAATGAGGCCATACTGGAGTAGGGCGGCTCCTTAATTCAATAGGACCGATGTCCTTTTAAGAAAACACAAGGCTCTGTGAAGATAGACACACAGAGAGGATGCTCTGCGACCATAGAGGCAGAATGACGTTATCTGCAAGCCAGGGAATGCCAAGCAATGCCCAGCACTGCCATAAACTTAAAGAGACAAGCAAAGGTCCTCCTCCAGGTACTTCAGAGAGAGAATGGCTTAGCCAGCTTCTTGATTTTAGACATTGAGCTTCCAGAACACAGAGAGGGGTTGATTTAGGAACCACTTTGCATTACTTTGTTATGGCTGCCCGAACACAAACTTCAAGTGGCAGAAACTTGAAACAGGTAGATTCTGTGTCACTGCCATTTTCTAGTGAGGAACAATTTTCTATTTGGATTTAGATGTAGCTACTATGATAACAACTGGATTGGGTAAGATCGATGTTTTGTACCCAACCAGTGGTTACACCAGTATGGAGATGTGATATATGTGATATATATTATATAAAATAAAAATAAAAGTGAAAACACATTGCATTCCAATATGTCAGGCCCACGTAGATCAAGGTGACAAGCCTTAATTTTAAATTCATTTTAATTAACTAGTCATTTCTCATTGTCACTATAAATATAAAATTCTAGAGTTTCTTTCTTGAAAAATAAATGATGAGGTAAGTGATAACAGATATTTTAATTAAAGGTTTTATAATTTTACCTAAAATTCCAGAATTTGATTCTTTAAAATCCAATGCCTGGATTTAGTAACTAGTCGATGAATGCAGGCTGAATTAAAGAAGATAATGAAAATGATATATATTTTAATTAACTGGAATGGGAAGAACTATAATCAACTTAGTTACAAAGTCACTTTGACATAAAGTCTCTAAGCTAAGTTACACTATTCCAAAGCTAGGAAATTCTTGTATAATAAAATCAATATCCCACAGTGTCAGATTTTATTTTATTTTTTTAAAGGTTTTTTATTTATTTATTTACGATAGTCACAGAGAGAGAGAGAGAGGCAGAGACACAGGCAGAGGGAGAAGCAGGCTCCATGCACCGGGAGCCCGATGTGGGATTCGATCCCGGGTCTCCAGGATCGCGCCCTGGGCCAAAGGCAGGCGCCAAACTGCTGTGCCACCCAGGGATCCCACAGTGTCAGATTTTAAAGAGAAATCATAAAATTAACCATAAGAGATGAATGGCATGATGTTACAGAGATACACTAATGGATTTTTTTTAACAATATTAACTGCTAATCACTGGAGGAAAATCCACCTGAATATACACACTACAGGGATTATCAAGAAGTAAGCAGAATTCCTCCGTGCTATCACCATTTTCCTAGATTGGTCTAGATTGGCTTCTTTCTCCATTACTCCCTAAAACCTGTATACATTTTTGGAGTAGTCTTATGTCTCACTTAACATTTCTACTTCTAACTACAACTAGTTTAGGTTTCTTGAATCTGGGTATTACATTTTCCTTCAAACTAGTCTGTCTGTTTTCATGACACACACATGAAAGTGTTTCTATTTTTCCAAAACGGCTTAAATAGACATTCTGTTTATTCAAATATTCTCTTTAATAACAATTTTCTCATTACATGTTTCATTTTGGTGACAATTTTCAAATAAATGAAATTTAATAATGTGGACTTAATATTAAACCTAGATTGACTGTATCCTAATTGAACTTTCATTATTTAAACAGTAAAATATTTCAGTAATTTGATACCTTCTTAAATGATTTATTTATATTATGATTATAGATGTGCTCAATTGCTGGTGAATAGTTCCCTTGAATATTGGATACATAAATTTTTATTGACTGATAGAAAATTAAACATTACAATAGCTCCAGAATACATCTGAAGATACACATTTTGTAAGATAAACAACTGATTCCTTTAGGTATTTAAGGTAGAGAAACCTATCAAAAATAGTTACCTCTTTTTAAACTGCACAACATCATATAAATGTTACTTGAAATTAATACTGCTGATAGAGTAGTGTTAGAAGAAAAACAATACCAAAACCTAAAACCAAACAAAAAAAAAATCCTAAAGTGACATCACTTAGGCCACATGCCCAAACTGGGGTTTAATACATAATCTACTTGTAGTTCAATCTCCCCCAGAAATATAGTCTTAGTAGGTCAGTCAAGAATTTTTCAGTCAGCACCAATAAGTCTGCAACACGGGCCCTTTCCAACCCCCAAAAGAAGATGAAGTAATCTACATGATAATGGCCCTTTTCTTACCCTCAAAGGAAAAGCAGCCTTGTCTGGAACAATCTTTCTCTTTTTGCTAATAATTGTTTTGCCACACTCTCCTCTACAAAAACTTTCCATTTCGTACAATTGTTCCAGCCCCACCCCCCATCTGCTTAATGGGATGCTGCCCAATTCATGTATTGTTCAATAAAGTCAATTATATCTTTAAAATCTACTCAGTTGAATCTTATTTATTTAACACTAGTCAAATTTTACACTTAAAAATATGTTTAGTCCTCACTCTCAAATAATATAGATTAAGTATATATTTTATTAATACCGAATAAATTCACACAGATGTAAATACATTGTGCATTCTATATTTAAATAAACTTGTTAATTTAATCATCAATCATACCTGAGTTAGTTCATTAATATCTACAAGTCCGTTACTGTCAGCATCAAAATATTTAAACATCTGATCCACCAACAACTTCTTCCAAGATATGTCATCACCGTTAGGGTTGTCATTTTCTTGTGTAATATATTTTTGATTTTGTAAATCTAAAAGCATGCTTTTCATCTTGCTGTATTCAGTGGCCTTGCAGTTATCTCCTGTAACAAAAGAATTGAGTTATTTTTAAAACAATATTATTGAAAAGGAATCATTTATTGTATCAATATTAAGAAGCTGATATCTTTTATAGATAATGTATTTGGTACATAATTTTTATGTTCCTACTTTGCATACTTTACACATACATAAGGTAAAAATAATGAGTTATATTCATGGTAGGATAGAAAATTTTCATTTGTATCAAATCTAGCAACAACATATTTACTGTGTATTTTCTCTATGCCAAGGTAATTTGTTCCTCAGTATACATTCCTATATAGATAGTTCACAGGTTTTGAAGCACAGGGAGATGAAATGACCTGCCGAAGGCAAAGGGTTAGATTGTGTTGAATTTTGCACTTGAACTCATATATATCTGGTTTCAAAATAGAATAAGATATTTTTAACTGGCAGTATGCTTTTTCTTTTTGAATTTGTTTTGAAGAAATTTATATATATGTGTGTTCGCATTTTTAAAAATTCTATTCTTAATGATGCTAAATTCATATTTGTGTTCCTATAAAAGTCTTTATTTTTCTGATATTCGTTTATCTCTCCCTTCAGAGCACTCGGTGTATACCATGATATATGTTTGCATTTTGTATCCTGAAGTTTCAACTTTGCAAATTTTATCTCCATAAATGAAGTATAAGCTCGTTGAAGTAACAATGCATTACAGCTTTATCAGTATTTCCCACAGAATAACCAGGGCAACACTGGCAACATCAGAGTTAGTGAAAATAATTGCTTGGCTTAATGTCTTAAAAAATAACTGCAAATGCTCTAATATGTTCACATAATTATCTTACAAAGGATTTTTTCTTATACTGTCCCCATGATAGTGTCTTTAAATAGTAAGTTGAAAAGTAGCATATACCACTGGTAACATGTGATATAAAATATATTACAGAAAATACAGCACCTAATGTAATTTGTAAATGAAGAAGTAGTAGGTATTGCATCAGTCAAAAATTTTTAGAACATATTTTTAGGGAAAATACCAACTTTATAATTGTCAATTTTGACAATTAGACTTTAACAGAATCTATAATTTTAAAAGATTTAACAGATCTCTGAAGATTTTTAAATATATGTTTGAGAAGCATGGAGTTGGAAAACAGTATTCATTCTCTTTCAAGACAAGACGGAAAACAATCTCTTCTAGAGAAATGAGAGACTGTCTTATTTTTCAAAGACAGCAAAATAACTACTGTTGTTCAGCAATTTTAGTGTTTAGCAATCCTGTCAAGAACTTCTTTTTTACAACAAAACGTAAACTTTGTGCTGCAGATTAAGTGAATTTTGCGTTATTCTGTTCTCGGTAAAAAAATAATACTAAAAATGTTCTTAGGATAGCAAAGAAATCACTGACAAAAAAGAGAAGTAATCATATCTAGAGGGATAGGTAGTGATTTTAGTGTCCATGAAAGTGGCACAAAAGGAGCCTTCCGACATGATGTGCCTGTGATTGTGTGTGTGAACATGTGTATGCATCAGGAAGTGAGAGAATGTTCGAGAGAAGCATGTGGAAAAGGATCACAGACTATTCCAATAGCCCTACCTGGGATTTCTGTATTTGACTTAGGGTCTGTGTTTCCTTTCATCTGACTGTAACGAGTAGGGTGCAGTTTGGAGATGCTGACCTGGGGCTATAGGCAATGTGAAGATCAGAATGCTGGTGAGAGGCCATAGTAACTAGGGTTTAAATGCTGAGAACCTGTTAACTAATATTTGACATTTGAGTGAAGAGGATACAGTTTGAGTTGTTAACACTCTAATTTTGATCTAGTTGAGTATTGTCATCAACACAATGATCTCTATTAATACTTTCATTTTTCAACTTGTAAATGTCCGTGAAAGTTCAAGTGGTTGCCTGCAATCCAAAGAAAATAAAAATAAAAGCATTCCAGTTAAGGCATTTATAGTCTATGAAAATGGACAAGAAGTAGTTATACACATATGCAAAATTTTGTGGAATTTATAGATTTAATCAAATTTCTCACAGGTTTTTTTTTGTAATAAATAGGAACATCTGCTATTAATAATAAATAACATGTAATGCAAGTTTCCTATGTGTCAGGAGCTTTATACATATTAAATCAGTTCACCCTCACAACAGTCCCAAAAGAAAGACAATACAGTGTCATCATTTTATAGATGAGAAATTGAGGCATAGGGAAATTAAGCAACTTGTTCAAAGCTACAGGGCGAAAACGGAGCGCAATGATTTTTACGTACAAGCAATATCTCTTTTGTCCTTTCTTCACTACTTCTCTCATCTTCAGAACTGAGTTTTAAAATCAACATATATATGGGATTCAGTAAATTCGTCCATGGATTATTTGAAAAGGGCAAATAAACATAATAATAAACTCTAGGCAAATAGAGGGAAAAAAAAACCTCATAATGGAAAAAGAAAAGGACTGTCCGAGAAGTTGCAGAAAATAAGAAAGTACTACTAAAGGGGAAAAAAAAAGAAAACTTTCAAAGAAGAGAGCATGAGGAAATGTGAAATGTTGCAGAATAAAAGTAAGATAAACAATGAAACATGCCCGTTGAAGTCCTTAAACTGTAGGTAATTGGACCCCTTAAAAAAATTTTAGTAAATAAATGGAGTAACATTCTTTAAATCTAGAATCTCCTTTTGTTTAAGATTTATTTATTTGAGATAGAGAGAGAAAGAGAATCCCAAGCACACTCCCCACTGAGCGTGGAACCAAGTGTGCGGCTAGATCCCACGACCCTGAGATCATGACTTGAGCCAAAATCAAGAGTCGGATGCTTAACTGACAGAGCCACCCAGGTGCCCCTAGAATCTCCTTTTTTATTATATACCTCCTTCCCATTGGAATCGATATATTCTCTATTTTGTTTTATGTTATTTTAATTACAATATAGTTAGCATACATTATTTTATTACTTTCAAGTGTACAATATAGTAATTCAACACTTCCACAAAGGACCTAGTGCTCATCAGGACAAGTGCGCTCCTTAATCTCCATCACCTATTCCCCCATCTTCCCACCCACCTCCCCTCTGGAAACCATAAGTTTGGTCTCTAAAGGTAAGAGTTTGTTTCTTAGTTTCCCTTTTTCACTCTTTCTATTGTTCACTTGTTTTGCTTGTTAAATCACACATATGAATGAAATCATATGGTGTTTGCCTTTCTCTGACTTATTTCTCTTAGCTTCATATTCCCTAGCTATATCCGTGTCTTTGAAAATGGCAAGATTTCATTCTTTTTTATGGCTGAATAATAGTCATTGTGTGTGTGTATATATATATATATATATATACCACGTCTTCTTTATCCATTCATCAATTGATGGACACTTGGGCTCCTTCTGTAATTTGGCTACTATAAATGATAGTACTATAAACATATAAACATAGAAGTGCATGTTTCTTTTTGAATTATTGGTTTTGTACTTTTTTGGGGTAAGTACCCAGTAGTATGATAACTGGATCAGAGGGTAGCTCTGTTTTAACTTTTTGAGGAACCTCCAAACTACTTTTCATGAGTGGCTGCCTCAGTTTGCATTCCCACCAGTGCATAAAGATTCCTTTTTCTCCATATCCTCCCAGCATTTGTTTCTTGCATTTTCATTTTAGGCATTCTGACAGGTATGAGGTGATATCCCAGTGTTGCTTTGATTTGTGTTTCCCTAATGAGGAATGACGCTAAACATCTTTGCATGTGTTCATTGGCCATTTGCATGTCTTCTTTGGAGAAATGTCTATTCACGTCTTCTGTCCACTTTTAATTGGATTGTTTCTTGGGTGTTGACTTGTATAAATTCTTTATACATTTTGAATACTAACATTAATCAAACATGTCATTTGCAAATATCTTCTAAATGGAGTAGACTTCCTTTTTACAGTGGGTTAAGGAGCAAAAACAGCATTTGGAAATATTAAATATTTACTGACTTTTCAGTGAAATAAAAAGAACTACCATTATTAATGAAGAAGAATAGATATTTAGAAATAAACATCAATTAATAGATATTTGGAAATCCGAGACTCTTCCATGAATAACACAGGCAGGAGGGTAAGACATTTTTGTTTGTTTATTTATCTGCTTTGATAAGATTCCTTTCTCAAAACTTAACCAACAGAGAGTGTTAGATTGGTGTAGCTAAGGGAAAGAAATATTTTCCTGGATTTACCTCCTATTCTAGGAGACAAGTAAGAGATCTCCTCTGCTGTTCCTACTCTAGACACTGAGAATAAGACAAATGAGATGCCTATTTGGTGGTGTCTATACCATCATCATTCCCATGAATGTAGTGACACTGGGGCCATGTGATTCTTGATTCAGTGTCGTTCTAAGGGCAGTTAAAATCCATCTGGCCTTGGGGGATGGGAAAGATGCAGAATCTCTGACATTCAAGTGGCTGCACCTGTGTAGTTGGCAGTGCCTCTCCAAGTCTCTATGGAACCAAAGATAATTACATTTTATATATCCTATAGTACAAGTATCCATTTCAGTACATGGCAATTGCTAAAATTTATAGATTATACCAATTATGCTTTGTATTATGTTTTTTCAAAGGCTGTTTTTATCTTTTTGAAATTATAATTTTATCCATCTCTTCTATCCATCAATAAAAATGACCTATTCCCTTCAACACAAAAATATTCAAATCTGAGTATACTATTTTTCTTTTTAACACTTATATTTAGAATTTGATTGATTTTGTTCTAATATAAGCTGAAATCTTAGATATTAAAGAATAAAAATTAAATGCTTTGATTTAGTGTTAATTCTATCCATTTATTAGAATATATATTGGAACTGTTTTTTTCCTCATACTGTTCAATAATTGTTAATAAAATTCTTTCACATATTTTTAAAAGATTTTATTGATTTATTTATGAGAGACAGAGAGAGAGAGAGAGAGAGAGAGAGAGAGAGAGAGGCAGAGGGAGAAGCAGGCTCCATGCAAGGAGCCTGACAGGAGACTCGATCCCGGATCCCAAGATCACGCCCTGGGAG